CCATCTTGCAGAGTTCAACGAATGGTTTACTCTGCACCATCGGCCATTCCTCGACAATTTCGTTCACAAATTTCACCAGCTTTTCCACATTTACACGCCTAATTGCATCCTTTGCGTATCTCAAATAACCCCATTTATCTTCCCCGGGATAGTACTTGTCGATGAGCCGATATGGATACTCTGGACCAAGATATTCCATCAACTCGTGATACGACATCTCGATGCCGTCTTTTTGTAACTGCTTTTTGGCCATCTCGAAATCTGCTACTTGACATTCACTCGAGTCGCACTGGAAATTGTAGAACCGCCGTCCGGCTGCTGTGTGAATAAAGGCAAACCATGTTTCGGAATAGAACCGAGTGTCGATACTTATCACGGTTGTCTTTGGCGCCATGAAAATGGCATCACCGAGCCCATTGCCATGAGGCGTGATGAGAATGTCTACGTCTTCCAAAAGCTTTGCCGTCGCCGGGAGAGAACACCCAACATCGAAATTCAAAAACTTGACCGTATAGTCTTGCTTCACTAGCGCATCAATCAGTTTGTCAGCGTTCAATATGTGTCGATTGTGGTATCTCTGTAGTACAGCAATGATGACTGATTTATCGTTGGTGGTGGTGGTGGTGGGCGTATAGATTTTCATGGTATCGAGGCAAGCCAGTTCCCGCTCATCTCTATGTTCTTGCTGCACGTATCGTTCCCATTGACCATTGTGAATGTAATGAGAGAAAATATCCTTCCGAAACTGTTGGTAATGCTCTGTTGGGATATTGTTCTCACAATAACTCAAACTACACCGATTTCCAGCCCCTAAGCGAAAATACGAAATCGTTCTTGCATGAGCAAACGCTTTTATATAGATTCCAAGACTAGGATCAACACTTACCAACGACAGCCCTGGCAAAGCAAATGGGTATTGACGACGGCACAACTTGCATTTCTGTCAATATATCATCGCTATCAAACACAATGTCTTTTCCATCGGTAAGAAACGAGATATCTTCAGGAATCGTTCTATTCCGCTGGTGATCGACCATGTGGGCACGCAAGAGCCATGCGTCTCGAGTGGCTTTATACGATCGCATTATGCTACAAAAGTTAAACGCAGGCAGACCGTCTTCATTAGACAACAACCCCCACAACCAAATAATGTGTCCCCGTCATTTTCTCAATCAGCTCTGATGCACTCGCATTACCTGTATAACGGTAACAATCCATTGAACATCCAATGCGAGAAATGAAAGGGTGCATACAAGCCGTATACAAACACCGTGTCATTTATATATCGTACTCTCCACGGATAGCTATATTTTACTTTTGGTTTCCAAAAGGCATCTGACTGTTCATCTGAATTCATAACGTTTGCAGGCTTTGCTATGTCATTTCGATTTACGATGAAAGCTCCTGTAAAGAGATGTAAAGTTGCTCTTGTTATTTTTCGGTAGGAAATGACGGTACACACATGTAACGTATTGCAATTCTGCACCCTTTCATACCATTGCTTTTATCAACACAAAAATTGGTG